ATCTCCAGGCAGAGAAAATGCTTTGGAAGCCTGGGGCCCGGAGCACTCCCTGGTGACTCAGCGCCAGGGGACTCGAGAGGGGAGAGAACGCCCAAATGCTGCGAGGGCCGGACTCTGGGGGTGGCCTCTGCTGCTCCCAGTGCGTTTCCGTTTCCTATTGTCTTCCGACCTCACCCCATGCAGATAGCAGCTCCGGCAGCACTTCTCTCGGGTCCTAGTGGCATTTGGAGAGGGACATGTTTTTGTGTTTTGTTTTTAAATATATATCTAGTTACTGATGTCAGAGAGGAAGGGAGAAGAGAGAAACATCAATGATAAGAGAGAATCATTGATCGGCTGCCTCCTGCACGCCCCCTACTGGGGATAGAGCCCGCAACCCAGGCAATGCCCTGACCAGAATCGAACCGAGACCTCCTGGGTCATAGACCGAGCCTCAGTGGCTGGGTGGGATAACTTTTTATTGTGAGGGACCATCTCACACATGGCGAGAGGTTCAACCCCTGGCCTCAGGTCACGAAAAGCTAACAATGCCCACTCCCCGTCGCTAGGACAACCCCAGAGCTCCCCGCTGGTGTGTCCCAGCACCTCCTGGCGCAGCTGAGCCCTCCCTCCGGCCCGCAGGCTGGGAAGAAGGGGCCGAGCTGCTCCCCGCTTTGCCGGTGGTAAGAACTTGTCTTTCAAGCTTTCAAAGCCCAAACGCTCAATGACTGGGAGACATTGACGCCGTGGCCCCGGGGCCAGCCGATCTGGCCCTGAGCCGAGGCCGGGCCTGGCCCCCACCTGCTACTGTATGTCCAGCTGTGTGGGCGCCCTGCCCCGCTCACTCACACGCGTTTCCTGTGGCCACTGCTATGATGATAGGGCCCCGCAGCCGCCTCAGAGCACGTGGCTGCCGCGCTGAGAACACTGAGGAAACGGTATCGGCCATATTTTGGGACAATTCTGCGAATGGCCAGACCTTCTATCCCGTCCCCACAGCAGAGGATTCTCCTGGGAGGAGGGGACGGGAGCGCACAGCAGGCCCTCTGCCGGCTGCTGGGTGCTGAGTGTAGGCGGAGCCCGGGGGAGGCCGAGGTCGGGGTGACTGCGCCGGCTACATGGCCGCCCTGCCCTGCCTCACATGGGAGCTGCCTGGAGGGCACACTCGTGTTTACAGATGACCCTGCGAGCCACGTGGCCTGACAGGGAAGGACCCCTCCCAGCGCCGCCCTTAGAAGCCGGGCTCTGGGCTCGGGAAGCCTGTGGCATTTTCTGCTCAGTGAGCCCATCCGTTCCCATTCTCTTCAGGGAGCTGCCATACGCACTGCGGAAGGCCTCGCAGATTGCCGGGAGAGGGCTGTTCCCGGCCGGGATTCCTCTGGCCGCTGCTGCCGGGGGCAGAGGGCAGGCTCCTGGGGGTGGCTTCTGCCGCACAGTGTGGCATGGCTCTGGCTGGCGGGGGGTGGCAGGATAGGGGGGCGGGGCAGCTGGCAGGCCTGGCTCTGGGGCTCACAGGCATGGACGGGTCAGGGAGAGCCTGGGGTCTGGGCACAGCACACACGGCTGAAAGGCAGGGCCCAGTGTCCATCCACATTATGGTCTAGAGTTAGTGACCTCACCAGGTTGACGGGAGCTGCCGGCAGGGTTGGCCAGATGCGGGGGGTGTTGGAGGGGGGGCTGGAGACGTCTCTAGGTCATGGGAGCCTGGCCAGGGGCCGTGGTTCTGGAGTCCTGGGCCCCTTTCTATAAAGAACAGGCAGCCACAGAGATGAGGAAGGGCCACAGAGGCAGTGCCAGCGGCCCCACGGGGGAGGGGCTTCCGGGCGGCGGTAGGTGCCCCCGGGGCCATGCTCCCCAGCCCTTCCTGGGGCCTCAGAGGAGCAGTGCGGGCAGAGAATGGAGGGGATGCCAGGGCATCACTGGCTTAGCTGAGGGCCAGGCACCATGGCTCCTCAGCCTGTGGGAATGTTTCCTGGGAGGGATGTGGGGTCCTGGGGCGACGGGGGCGCTGATGTTAGGGGGTGTGCCAGGAGGAAGGTGAGGGTTGGTGCAGCCTAGCTAGGTTTATGTCATCTCATTTCAGACCCTGCCTCCACCTTCACCCAAAGCAGAGACCTGGGAGGACTTGGGGGGAAGTAGAGGCTCCAAGGAACCAGAGACAAGGGGGGCATGGGGGAACCTTCTTAGCGCCTCTCCGATGCGACAGGGGGAAGACTGCCAGGAGCCAGTCCATCCTTGCTGCTTGACACAGTCGCTGCACAGCATATGTTTCAGCACAGCATATGTTTTAAGGGACCTGGTGTATATGACATACTGTTCTTAATGTTTGCTCACCTTCTTGGCGCTATGTGTTTTAACCAAGGTCACCTCTCTGAGAAAGGTTGTTTCAAACTGGCCACAGAACCTAGAGACAGAACTTAGTGAGAGAACATGGCAAGAGAACCCGGGCAGAACCTGGCTGGAGATCCTGGATAGAATCAGGCGAGAGAACCCAACTATACTGATGAACTGAATGCTGCCTCCATGTCATTCCTTCTTTGCCGACTCCATCCACACCTTTGGGGACCCCTGGACCTGCTGGGGTTGGACCCTAGCAGAAGACAGATCGCAGACACAGGGGGTGGGGACTCGGGCCGGGGATCTTCCTGTGTTTTTGTTCTGATCGCCTTGGATGGCAGGCGTGGCAGAGACGGCTCACTGACCACGCGGCCTGTGCTTCTCTCCCTGGGCAGAGTCACTCTTGGGGAGTGACCACCCAGCCACTGACAATGCCCCCCACCCCCTGGAATCTGACCAGAGTGAACCCCGAGCAGGAGTGAAGTGAGTCGCTTTGGGGTGACAGTGGCCAAGTGTCTGGTGTGCTTTCCCCCAAGAAATCCCTCTTCCTTCCGCGGTGACCTCACACCCGCAGCCTACAGACGGTACTCTCACGGGAAGGAGGGGAATGCTTAGGGGCACGCGCCTAGTCAGGAACGTCGGCGGTGGACTTCGCACCAACAAAACTTTAACACAAAATCCAAGTAAACTTCCCTAAGGCGTAGGGATGGCTTGTTACAGCAGCTAATCTTAGGGTAAGACTGACACGCGCACACAGAGCTATGGTTTTCTGTTTTTGATCATGATATCAGGTTCCTTCGAAATGAGTTTATCCAATGAGAAAATGAGGCTCTTTGGAGAATCGTGTTAAGGCAGTGAGTGCACAAGTGTGCAAACATAAGGCAAAACGCTGTTCTTACACGGCCACCTTTGGCAAGCCCTGGCCTGCAGCTGGGGAAATGAAGGGGAATTACAGACTAGAGCAGTGGTTCTCAACCTTCTGGCCCTTTAAATACAGTTCCTCATGTTGTGACCCCCAACCATAGAATTATTTTTGTTTCTACTTCTTAACTGTAATGCTGCTACTGTTATGAATCGTAATGTAAATATCTGACATGCAGGATGGTCTTAGGCGATCCCTGTGAAAGGGTCGTTCGATCACCAAAGGGGTTGCGACCCACAGGTTGAGAACCGCTGGACTAGAGAGTTTCAGGGCGGAAAGAGCAGTACATAGTGAGATGCACTCCTGTTTCCTGGGGAAGTGCTGACAGCGTGCACTCAGGGGCTGTCCCTGCATCTGGCAGAGTTACTCTCAAGATGAAGCAATGCCACTCCGCAGCCTACAGGGTCCCATGGCAAGAGCCTGGAAGGTGGACGTGACCCTCAGAGGGGTCTGCTGGGGCCTGCAGTGGTTTTGCTCTTAAGTTCCTTTTTAATTAGCCATTACTTACAAGAGATTTTACATAAAAATCAGAACTCCTGATTGTCCTGAAAAGCAAAAGTTCTGGCCACACTGGGCCGACAGTCCCACCTGGCAGCAGGGGCCCCTGGAGACAGGACACGGCGCCCACTCCCCACCACTCCTCACTGTCTCCCCCACCCTGAGCGCCAGCCACAGTGGCCTTTCGCCACTGGCACGGATGTGCTGCTTCTGGAAGAGGACCCTT